ATAAATTGCACTATCTTGGAAACGGGGGATCGTTTTCTGGCTAAGGGGGTTCGCTGGCAAAAGGGGGGTTCGCTGAAAAAGGGGGGTTCGCCCGAACCCCTAAAAACCCCCCTGGCTACGGGCCTGAATACAGTAGTCGCCTTTACTCAAAGATGGTAAACGTCAGGGTGGCAAAAAGCCAGGTTTCAACGGGCCTGGACCCTACTTTAAAAAAGACTAAAATTGTGTATATTGTGAATTAGCAGATGTTGTCTGCTGAGGTCTTATCAATCCCATTTAGCGATGTTTCTACTCGTTGGATTATCTCTTCCTTCGGTATAGTCGAAGGTGCCGCAGCAAAGTTCAAGCACAGGACGAGCACTGATTTCTCAGCTGCTGACAGATTGTTATTTCATAGGTTGACTACATAGTGAGCATTGAACTCAGTACGGCGAAAAGGAGCTTAGGAAGATTCACTGCTATTGTTTGAACTTCTTTATCTATTTATTGCGTGTTCTCTCTAAAGTGAGTCGCCTTGTGGTTTTTGACCAATTGTGGATTTTTCACCTGGCTTGTAAAAATTGTTTAAGTTTGATTTGAATGCGATCCATGCTGTCTTCTACAGAGTGTAGTTGGGATCTGACATTGCTAATCCGCTCTCGTAATAGTGACTAGCGCAGCAATAGCCAAGATGATACGGAATATATAAAGTCTGTAGGTCTCTGTTTACCAAATTTGGAACAGCTTTCACACCGTATTCAACGCATTGTACAACAAGCCCATATTAAAGTTTCTTTATAGTACACCCTATCAAACTATCCGGGACTCTTGAAACACACAAGCATAAGCCACCAGCACAGAGACAGCAGGGAGTTTATCGGGTTAAATTTCAATGCGAATGCGGAAAGGTTTACAATGGTGAAACAGGGTGTAATGTGATCTCCGTACCAGCTTTAGGCTCAAAGAACGCCAAGGTCACGCTATTAGAGGAGAACAACAATATTCATCTGTAGTCATGCACTCCCACACGCAACAACACCGTGTATGTTGGGATAAATCGTGAGTGGATCTCCCGTACGATTAAAAATCGTAACGGTACTGGGTTTGGTCTACAGGAGTTCGTGCTCCGAACAGGTCATTCCATTCATAGAAGAAGCCTTTTGATGGAGAAAGTGTACCTTTTAGCAAAGGTTTGCCTAGGTCGAAACTAACTCCGGCTATATAAAATTGATTATAAGATAGTAAAATATTAATCTTCTTATTGTAGTAGTGATAGATACTATGTACACGTTTAATTATTGTTATTTATTCGTTATGTCATTATATTTAGATTTTTAAATTTATTGTATTGTTTAACAATGAATTATTAGTTCATGTAAAAATTCATCTTATCAATTAAAATTGTATATTTTAAATAATATAGTAGGCATAGACGAGGTCTAGCCTAGGCAAGCTCTAAACGAGTGACTATATCATGTGAGTGTATAGCATTATGGAAAATATGAATAAAACGTAAAATTGTGAAAGAATAAAGGAAGAATGATCACTTACTTAATAATTCATTATTACTTCATAAAGTAATTTAAAATATTATAATATTAGCATTTATTTATGTGCACATAATACATAATAGTAAGAAATAAGACAGTAGTAAGGTTTAATATAGCATAGTAGTTAGGTTTAAGAAATAGGAAAATATTTTTAATCGTAGATCCAAGCTCCCCGACAGGAGGTCCACGCCAGAAAGTTTGGACCGAATCGAATCGTCGGGGACCCCTAGTGGCCCCCACCCCCAACCGTCGGAGAAAAATTATTTTTTTAATTAAAAAATAATATAATTTTGTGTTAAATATTGAATTCTTTATTTAAAAAGGATAATTTTATAGAAAACCATTCGAGTTAAGAGGCCTTCTGGTGGGGGTACGATCAATCTGTCGGAGGTACCAGCCCCTGTCAGGGAAAATCTGGCGCTACCACCGCTACCCATACCTTGCACATACAGTAGTACATTGTACCTTCGGCACAGCAGTTTAAATTTTTCTCCAAAGACCTTGCTTGAAATTCCCCAGAAATCCTTATCTATTCATTAATAAGAATAACATATATATATATCCGGAGTTAATTTCGAACCAGGCAAACCTACACATATTTAATTTGAATATTTGTAAGCAACGTATGAATTAGGTCTATGAATCAATCTTCATTTGCGTACGGGCATTTCATAAGGCCACACAAATGTTAGGGCTATGCCTAATCATGGATGTATTGATCTAAGTTCCCATGCAGCTTTGCCAATAGAAATAAGCATTATCAAACAATCGTTCAATCAATCGTTATCAGGGGGCGGATCCAGTGAGCACGGGGTTATTGCAAAGTCCAACTCCCCATTCCCACCCACCAAAGAAAAAACATAGAGAAAAAAAAAACGAAAGAAGAAAGTCATGAAAGAGGGAGCATGAAGTTACTGTGGGCCTGCTCCAAAACTAGCTATTTTCTTATTTAAATTCCATTAGCATCTACGGTAACAAACATTTCTAAACAAAAGCTTTATGTCCGGCCCTTGCTATATCTATAAGGTACCATTCCAACATTTAATAAAAGACTCTATTAACACTATAAAATTTCAGAGATTTTATAGTGTTAATGGAGTGTTTATAGCAGCAGCAGCGGCAGCGGCGGCGGCGGCGGCGGCAGCAGCAGCAGCAGCAGTAGTAAATGTGGTACCTGGCCTCTTTTGGGCTTATTTGAACTTGGAGGAACTAAGAATTTCCCAAACAAGTAAGTGGTCAAACCTCCATAGTAAAATGCTGAGTCGTATTTGAAGAGATTCCTTTCTAAAAGATTTGCCGATGAGTGTGTTTGTAGCATTTCGGTCTATTTGT